GTCAGTGCTGGTGATGATTCAGGGAACTGGACCATGTGAACATGAATGGGAACAGTTGTTACAGAGGAGGGACGGAGACTTTCCACTGTGCCGCCTGTGACACATATCCTACACTCAATGCTATAGTTAGCAGAAATTAAAAAAAAAAATCTGGGTTTTTCTGAACAAGAAACCAGAGAAAAATTCATCTCAAAAGACCAGCCTGTATTTCCTCCTGTAACCTAATTACTGGCAGAACGTTAACTTTTGCTGAGGGAGAGTGTCACAGACTTGGGGGTGTGCACAGCAGCACCTGAGCTCCTTGTCTGCAGGATGGTCATGCCCTTCACTGGCTCTGGCTGGAAGGCTCAGGTCTAGGGTATGTGCCCATGTTTCTCAGGGGCACGCATTAAAGGAAATGGCCACAATGGGAGAGGGTGAATCGCTGTCTTGACTTTGCCTCACCTTCCTCCAAGCACTCACAGGGCAGGGTTGGGGATGGAGTGAGCCCTACATGACCTTCACATATTAGGATTCCTGTGATGTACATAGTTACTTTAAGAGCCTAGAAGGGGCTTGAGCTCCCAAAATCCACTATATTAATCCCTAGATCTGACTGCCAAATCACCATGCTGGAGCCACAAATACAAAGATGTTTTACATTTCCTGCTTCTGTCACTTGCTATGTTCAGCTGATTCGTTTTATTATTAGTTTTTAGATTAGCATACTATCATCAGGTTTCAACACAGCATCTGCACACATACATGTCAGTATCAAAAATCATAGCAGTTACTCTACTTAAGCTTGGTAAGGCATCTTCTGCCACGTGGTATAGACCGCACTGGTGCTCATCCCCAAGAAAGACTGGAGCGCAAGGGAGCCAGAGTGGCTGCTTCCGTCATAGTAAGCTGCCAGTCAGGCACTATTTCTGAAACTGAAGCAACATAAATATGCCATCTTTCAGTCCGTGATTCTGACTGCAGAAATTGCAGAGGGAAACACCCCAGCAAGCTGTGGAACAGTTCTTGCCATGCAGCTGGGGATGGCATCCAGGGGCATGTAGCTAGTCCGGGGGCTCCAATGATGGGCGGCCTAACCCTTAGTGCTTTGAGGCTTCTGGTCCGAGGCATGTGTGAAAGAGGACTACGGGATGTTTTCTTTAGGGCTGTGCCAAAAGGCCTCGCAGAGCAGGCATGTGGGCCAGCAGCTTCAAAGCTCAGGCCTTTGGCCATTGGTATACTTGTGCTGAGGACAGGGTGGAAGAGATGAGGAGGTGGGTAAAGCACTCCCTTCACTCTGGCTACCATGGCTGTATGGCACCTGTTCCTCTGGGGAAGGTCGGTCACAGCATCTACCAGGGACACTTTCCTTCCTCCCTCCACCTCTTCCGCAGGCCCTTTCTCAAGTCTCCGGAGTCCCTTCGGGAAATCTGTAGTGACCAGCTTGAGCACACTATCAGTTTTCCCCCTACGGTTCAGACTGAATTAGCTATCAGTGGGATTTTATCATTCTTACACTCTTAAATTTGCAGTTGTCTGTTAAAATTATGAAAGGCAGAAGGCAGAAAGCGCATCCAACTACCTCACAGTGCCTTCTACAGCCCAGCTTCTTACACAGTCGACCCAGGATAACAGCCCGCTCTGAGCTGCAGTGTTCACAGTGCACTCTTACAGAAATATAACAGACAAACAGAAAACAAAGACTTGGTATTTTCCTACAGTCATCTCCTCAGATTGTCGGTATCAAATTAGTCTCTCTCTGAAATACACTGTGAGGCTGCTTGGTTTTTTTGTTTTTGTTTTTTTTTTTTTTCCAATTTTCGAGACAGGGTTTCTCTGTAGCTTTTTGGTTCCTGTCCTGGAACTAGCTCTTGTAGACCAGGCTGGCCTCGAACTCACAGAGATCCGCCTGCCTCTGCCTCCCGAGTGCTGGGATTAAAGGTGTGTGCCACCACCGCCTGGCAAGGCTGCTTGGTTTTAAAGGCTACCACTGGAGTTGCTGACTTGACTTCCATTAAAAATAAAATCATCAAATGCATTTTGGCTTGGGGTTGGGACAAAATTTTCAACAATTTTGGAAATGGCCCTACACATACTCTACTATTTTGTAGTACGTATTTATGAAGAGTGGTGGTCCAAGCCCTGATGATTATAATATCAAAAAGGGTGAAAAATGTTGAAGATGCCCTATGCCTTGTGGTATCTGACATGCAGCCAGCTATGTATATGCTAGTGCCCTTGGAGGCCAGCAGAGGGCATTGGAGCCCTTGGAGCTGGTGCTGCATATGGCTGCTAGTCATGTAATGTAGGTGCTGGGGAACAGAACTCCGGTCCTCTGGAAGAGCAGCAAGTATTCTCTCTAGCCGTCTCTCATGCCCCAGTTTTGTTTTTAATAAGTGGTAAAAAATTAACGTATGCAAGAGACTCATTTTAAAATACATTAATCATCTATCTCTTATCTATAGATATGAATATCTGTTATATATCTTTAGACCTGGGGCCGCAAACCCCTTTTTTCCAGTGGAAATGAGTCACAGAAAAGGTTCAGAATCCCTGTGCTATGGCACTGTGTGTATCGCAGATGGCAGAGATAAAACAAGAGGCTACAGGTAGACAGCACCCGAGAACCAGGAGTCGGCGCTGCACAGGTGTGAGGTGCAGAAAACACACTCATTTTTTCTTTTTAAAATTTTAAAACTGTTTTGCTGGTGGTGTTTTTATTTTACGTTCATTTGTGCTTTGCCGTATGAATGTGTGAGGGGGGTTGGGTCCCCTGGAACTGGAGTTACAGATGGTTATGAGCCCTCACATGGGTGCTGGGAATTGAACCTGAGTTTTCTGAAAGAGCAGCCAGTGCTCTTACCTGCTGAGTCAGCTCTCCAGTTCCCACAAACATAGCCTCACACCAAATCAAGGACTGTTAACAGGAAGAGTTTAAACAACTGGCTTTCATTCTGGGGTCAACATGCTTGTTAGACTTCATGCAGCTGTTATTTAAGGGATAGAGTCCTAAGGACCACAAATGGGGCTTCAACGGTAGAATAAAGCACACAATCTGACTTTAGAAATGTGCGCTGTGGGATGTACACATCCTGCACTCAGGAGGCTGAGCAAGAAGGATTGTGAGCTTGAGGCCAGCTCAGACTCCACAGTGAGACCCAGGTTCAAACAAACAAACAAACAAACAAACCAAAGTTAAAAGATGGGAAAAACATTACCATAGACTAACAATAAACTACAGTCCTCATAAAAATGACATACTGGCAGTGGGGCAAGTTAACACTTTCCAGGGAAAAACTATACAGATGACTTTGACATTATTAGAACTTATTTTCTATTATAAACTATCAGGGAACTGAGGGGTGGCCTCCGCAGACCCATCCGAAATTTCTGAGCATGTGCTGCCCACTCATTCAGGCTTGAGACATTGCTGAGCTTCTCTAATCTATATGTTTCTGCAGTGCCTGTATGCACACACGTGCTCATGTAGAGGACACAGGGCATCGTTCCTCACGCTGTACACCTACACTGTTTTTTTTTCTTTCTTGTTTTGGAAGTAGGGTCTCTCACTGGTTTGGAAGTTACCAAAACAGACTAGGGCAGCCTGCCAGTAAACGCCAGGGATCACCTGTCTCTACCTCCCTGGTGCTGGGTGGTGGGTTACATACTATCATGCCTGGCTTACTTAGGTGAGTTCTGGTGCTCAAACTCAATTCCCCATATTTAGAAGGCAAGCACTACAGAGCCATCTCCCAAAGCTGCCTCCTTTCTGTCTGCTAGGACAGACCCACCCTGACCCAGCTTGATGGTACGCTACTACACAGCACCCACCAGATGACCCCATGAGCTCAGAAAGTAAGCAAAGGTCACTTTCCACATTCCTTCCACCTCCCCACCGGCTGGGTACACTACCGATGGCTTTCACAGGCTTGATCTTACAGTTTTATGCACAGATCATGTGTGGGTAACTGAAATGCATGTAAGCAGCTGTGTGTGGAGAGAACTGGCCATCAGCTGTGCTATGACATTAAGAACAAACACCATTTGGAAACATGTGACATGTTCTAAGATGCCTATCCGTTACGTGACATGCACTTTAAAACACTCGTTAGGGGAAATATTGCTTGGATCTATAGGCTGGAGGGTAGCAAGGCTACCATCTTGTCCCAACCTCTCCTTGGGGCAGGTTGGAGCTGACATTGGCTGGAGGCTCTTGATGAGGTCTCAGTAGCTCTCAGTATCTGAGCAGAACCTTTTATGGAGGGACGAGCAGTGACATCTAGCTCGGTGTTGAACCCTTCAGTGTCAGCTTCTATGACCGCTGACATGGAAGAATTATCCTTATTTATCCCCAAAATAAGAAAACTGGTCTTCGCTGCCTAACATTGTCAGCAGGAAGCTGCTGGGGACAGAACCAAGTGAACCTTGGTGAAGGAAAAGACCTTTAGGCTCTGCAAGGAACCCCAAGCTGCAAGGCTCTGGACTCCAGCCTCCTCATGACACCCAAAACAACACGGCCCACCTTACAAATGATTGGGCACCCTGCTGAGCCCCAAGGTCCTTGTTGATTGCTATGTGCTCACAAAGCTGCCCTTCCCTATTGGCAGTAGCATCTTGCAATCCACAGTTCTGGACAAACAAGGAGAATGTTGAGAAAAAGTTTGGCAGACAAGGAAAGAGAAAGGCTCTGAAGGACAGGGCAGTCTCTGAGAGTGGGAACCTTTGCTCAAGATAAACTCTGCTATTGTCCATCTCAGTAACAAACCTGGATGCTAATGCAACAATGTTTGGAACTGTTGTTTTTCTTTTGAGTATTTCTGAAGCTTAGTTACATTCATGCCTTTCATTTTGTGTGTGTGTGTGTATTTACTTATCTCAACATGCATGTATGGAATAAAAAAATTCACTTGCGGGAGCCACTTCAGAAAATCCACATCTGGCATCAGGTAAATAGAGGACTTCACGAGCAAGGCCATTTTTCACAGTGCAGATGCTCACCCTGGCAGCCTGGGGACCCTTACCTTCAGCGGTGCCCGAGAGCCCGTCAGCCTTGAAGTTGCTGGTACTTTTCTTCCTCCGGTGCTTCTTTCTGTTGGCGTGGGGGGAAGGGGGTGGGTCAAGCTTGGGGCTGGTGCTGCTGGAGATACTTGGGCTGGAACACACGGAGTCACCCAGCCCCGTGTCTGCAACCGAACCAGAAAAGGCAAAAGAATGCAAAAGTGAGCGTGGAGCACAGCAAAGAAAATGAGGCAAAACCCACTCAAGCAACATCCTCCAGCATTAACATGTGAGATCTTTCCGTCCTTCCAAAGACACCTGTGCACAACGTGGCTGGGTGGGCGGCCGGGGCTCCAGCAATGAACAGATCTAAGCACTTTTGCCATGTGCACCTCCCAGCCCAAAGCAGGCGCTGGAAATCCTCTGCTTCTAGCCACTGGACTCCTGAAACCTCAGACCCACACCCATGACATCAGGGGCAGCAGGACAGTGGACCTCGGATTATCAGTGTTCCCTTTCCTCCCCTTACTGACCCTCATTTACCAGGAATGAGATACTAACATGCATAAACTGTCCTGAGTGGGTGTGACATTGCATACAAAGGGGGAACAATTACTGATCTTCTTCTCCCTGTAGTACTACATGTGGCTGTGACTTCACTTTGTAATCAGGAGAGGAGATACAACATGCCACAGCTCACCAACAGCCTGCAGGAATATCTCCACGTCAATACCACAGAGCTGCAGACTGAAGAGTCGCTCCAGCTCTGCAGAGAGGCTTTAAGGCCACTGTGCAAACACAGGGACTCACTTTAAATGAAACTCAATTTATTTTTTACTCTCTCTTTACCAAAAAGAAGGCCCAAGTAGTGCTAAAGACTGGGAAGCGCCAGACTACACGGGCAGGACAGTACACCGAGCAGGGGACAGAGGAGCATGGGTGGTGCACCTCCCCACACCCCACGTTTCAGAGTCGTTTGTCATGAGTCAGGAGTCTTGTAATTACAAGGAGAGAAAGGCTTGCACTGACTCCCATCCGCCTGGTGTCTAATCTCGGAATACTGCCAACCCCTACAAGCTGGGGACCCACCATGAAAAGCTGTCCCCAGATCCCCGCTGACAGGCACCTCAGCTCTGAATTGGTATCAACCGTCACCTTCTGTTCCATCCCCTGATGCTGCCACCCTTCCACTTCCACCAGGCTCCAGGACTGATTCCTTTCCCAAGGTGAACTGTGTCCTAGGGACAGCCAGCAGTTCTGACCCTCACTTCATCCTGTAGTTTGGCAGGCTGGCTGCAGTGGTGGTGGTGAGGATAAGGGTTTAAGTGAAAACACTGGCCCCTAGCTGAGCATGGTCACATACACCTTTAACCTATCACTTAGGAGGCAGAGGCAGGAGGATCTGAGCGTTTTGGAACAGAAAGGTCTACATAGTGAGACCTAGGCCTGCCAAAACAACAAAACCCAACCTACCCACCAACCGATCAACCCAGAAACCAACACCAAAACCAAGAAACAAACAGAACAGAGCAAGACAACTTTCTGAATCCCTAGGACAGATACCAGACTCCAAGATGGCCAGCCATTCTGGCGTTTCCCTTCTGTATGTTATCCAGTGCTTGATGGTGAGGACTTTTGTTCTTCTTAAGTATTCCATGCACAGATTTCAAAAGATGCCACTACTCGTCCTGTGCCAAGGCCACTGACAGTGGTCCATGCCCGTCTGGTCCCCCACCAGAGGGCTTACTCATCAGGCAGGAAAGCAAAGCTACTCACTGTTCTTACCCAAAGACATTTCCGTGTAATTAGCCCGAGTGTCCCACTGTCCTGTTGCTTCAATCCTGCAACCTCTGTGACTGTCAGTAATTCTTTCTCCTAAGCTACAAGTTAGATCTCTACTCCAGGGGTCTGACTGTGGACACTCTGCACTTGGCTGTTAGTGGCCGAAAGCTAACTACAGCTTCTTCAGGGAAGTGGTGGTTTCTCTTCCCCAGTGTCCTGTAATGCTCAACACAGGTAAGCTACCGTCTACTGCCCAACCCGACACCAACATCTCTCCTAGATGCGGAGAGCACATGCATGAACTACACAGCCAACAGGACGGACTTCCACACATGTGCACAGAGACCATCTGGAGTGTTGAGGCTCTGGAAGCTTCCCCTTGGTTTTCACAACTTCCTTAGCAGGTCTCGGCTGTTTGAAATACAAACCTCTATGCCCACAGCTGAGTCAAGGAAAACAGTCCAGGGCAAGGCGGGGCTGGGACAGAGGTTCATGCGTCAGTAGCACCAGCACACTTGGAGGCCTCTAAGCAGCAACACCACACCGGGCTCAGACAAGGCGTTTGTCTCTGTAACCTAGCCACATGTTGTAATGAATAGTGGAATGGTTGCACCAACAATTCTGCAACAACATGGCTTTGAACTTGTCAAGGAACAACTGGAGCAAGGTGACACACACCTATAATCCCAGAACCCAGGAGGCTGAGGCAGGAGAAACACCATGAGTCCGAGGTCAGCTTAGGCCTTACAGCTGTTACCAGGCCACTGAAGCCAACCTCCCAAGACCCTGCCTCGGATAGAAAACAAAACAAAAAGAAACGAAAACAAAGCCAATAAGCTAGGTTTCCAAATACCACCCTGAAAGCCAACTTACACGGTTCTGATAATCCAGAAAGACGAAAGGGACACAAATCACAGTTTCTCTTTTTAGTGAAATATCCCTATTCAAATAAGTCATTGTTTTCTGTGTGAATGAAGATGCTCTTTCAAAAATCTACTTCCCGTTCTACTTGGGCAGGCTTTGGACTCACTCACTGGCACACAGAACAGAATTCACCTTTCTTGGGATGAAAATCAAATGTTCCTGTTTCCAGGCAACTCCTTCCCCTCCTACCACAGAAAGCACCATTGCATCTCCCGGTGTCTCGGTATCTATGGCCTGTCATTACTGTGGCACAAACTCTTGACTTTCATGGAGAAGTGACAAGTGGCAGTCTTGAGATGGTGACAGTACTGGCAAGAAATGCCACTCAGCTTCCTCTGAGAGTCCAGCAGGCCAGGGCACTGATATGCCCTGAACTTTGGCTTTGTCCCTGAGGCATCCTTCAGCATGGTGCTTCAGTTCTGTTCCCAGAGGCTCTGCTGGTCTATCTGGTTCCTTGTTCTCAATTAGAAGCATGTTCCAGGCCCACATGGCAATGCTTTGAGACAGATGTGAAAACCACAGCAAGTAGGGTAGTGGTATTACAGGAATCCAGCATCCAGAGATGTTGGGAAGTGGCCTATAAGCCTAGAACCGCTCTAACTCATGGGACTCTCAGTACTGTCCCTCCTCCCTTGGACAGCTGGACTTACAGGCACTGCCTGCTTGGAAGGCACATTCCACTCTGTGTTCTACCCTGGAGACACTCCTGCCATGACACGGGGTTCTGCCCCCCCCCCTTCTCACCCTGGGGAAGCTATGCAGCTACATGGTAACTCTACAGATCCTGGGTCAGGAATTCTCCATTTCCACAACAGCCCCGCAGTCTCCTTGTGATGTCACTCCAACTGCCCAGGTGAAGTCCGGTCCCATTCCTCCCCATGCCAGGCTCTTTCCTTCCTGATGTCTCAGCAGCCCTCATTCCCTGGTGTCCTCAGAGCTCTGCCAGCTGCTTCCCCCGCTCCCTCCCCCACTCCAGCAGCTCCTCCAGCAACCTCTCACCCCCATGGGCAGACCTCCGTGGCAGGTCCCAGCATTGTTAACTACTGGAAACATTTCTGAAAACCCAATTTCCCAAGTTTCTCCCATCGTTTCCAGTTAGGGTCATGGAGACAGCATCATCCTGACCCTGGCTCCTTGTGCCTGGGTCCCTTCTGCACCAGCACCCCTGCAACCCTGAGCTTCTTGCACTTCAGTTAGAAATCTACCCACCACTTTCCTAGATGCTCACCCAAGGTTTCTCCTGTTCCTCCTGAATCCCTCACCTCACCCCAACCCCCACCATCTAACCAACTGAACTTTCTCTCCCCCATCTCTCGGAAACAAACACTCCACTTTTCCCTAAAGGCCTGGCAGGCTCTGGGAATCTTCAGCCTGTAAGCTATGTCCCACTCTAGATAGTGACTGTGGTCCCAGCATTTCGTCCCTCCCTGCCTGTACCACACAAGCTGAGTCTTACCAAGTGCCTCCCTTGCCCACTCTCCCTTTTTACTACTTGACTTCTGCTGCTCTCTGAAGCAAAGCTCACTGAAGTGTTCTTCCTCACGGCTGGCAACTGCTGTCCTCACCAGTGCCCCTGACAGGGGCCACTTAAGTAGACAGGCCTCCAGGGCAGCATCTGTTTCTCCTGCATCTGCTATGGTTTGTCCCTCCATCCTCAGATGGGAAGTCACAGTGAGTTCTGCATAGGAAGGTAGAGGAAGCCACAAGGCGCACGGAGGGTGCTTGTGAGGCCAGCCCACAGCCTGCACAAGTCACTGCCCCTCCTTGTCTCATTGGCTTGGCTCTCTCCACGTGGTGACAAATGTCTGTCACAGGAGCATCATGCCAGCTTCGTGGATACAGGATCTGTTTTCTCTCTTCACCACAATGACAGTCATGGGGGAATTCTACTGCACTGACCAGTTTACTGAAGAGTCGACTGCCTGAGGTCCTGGCCCAGGTAGGAGGGGACCTGTGGTCCCCGTGGAACAGCGGAGTGCAATCAACTCTGCTACATCCTTAAAATCTCACCACAAGCATGCTTTTGTGTCCACCACTGTCCTGCAAGTTCCCAACCGTCTGGAAGCTATTTTTAGGTGAACGACTACAGCCATGAATGGGAGTTATTGACAGAAACAGTCTCCCTTACACTCAGCCTACACTTACTGAGCATGCTCTCTGAGCTAGCAGCTGTCAAAGAATAAAGGGCAGAACCCCTGTCCCCATGGAGCCGATTTCTAAGGCCTGAAAAGAATGCCTATCTAATTTCTTGCTTGATGCCTTCAATAAAAGACTGTTTTCCTTGGGCCCTGCACTGGCTCACAGAATGCTGAAGGGACCCCATGTGCAGCAGGCATGTCAACCCCACAGATAACCAGACCGGGCCAGGGCGGGGGGGGGGGCTCATCCACAGACAGAACCATGACTCTGTGGCCTGTGGAGGGTTCCCTCAGGGCCCGGGGATTGAGACTAATGGGAAAACAGAGGGGTCACTGTGTCA